AATCCATAGTCCTCTCCTTGATAGATTCGCTGCTTGAAACCACCAAGACATCAGATGATTCATAATCATTTTTCACAATGGCTGCATTACCATTATCCTTTCCACCATGATTGTTCAATCGATTAGGGCATACTTTTCTTGTATGACCTTCCTTCTTATAATGATAACACTTAATAGTAGGAGCATTACCACCATAAGAATTGTTTAGAACTTTACCATTCTTATTCTCAAATCTACCATCTTTCTTCAAGAATTTCCTGTTAACGAACAAACCTTCACCAACAGAGGATGGCTTGTCCTCCTTTCGTTCCTTCAAATCCTTAGAGTATAAGGCAGATTGAACATCTTCAAAGGCAACTAATCTCTTCCATAAAAGATATTTTCTTTGAAGTGAGCATGAGACTTAGGTAAAGAGCACAACAACAACAACATTTGATCTTCATCATCAATCTTGACCTTGATATTTTCAAGATTAAGAATCAACTTGTTGAACATATCTAACTTCTCAGCCAAAGATTTGTCCTCACTCATCTTGAATGAATACAAATACTGATTTAGGTAGAGACAATTAAACAAAGATTTTTTCATGTATAAACCTTTAAGTTTTGTCCGTACACCTGCTGCAGTTTTCTCCTTTGAAACCTGCCGGAAAAGGTTATCACCAAGGGTCAACACAATGGCACTGTGGGCTTTTTTGACCATCGTTATCTTCTTCTTCTCTGTTAGGGAAGCATCCATCTTCTCTGATCTTTTCAGTGCTTCTAACAAACCCTATTGAACAAGAAGGGCTTGCATCTTCAAGCGCCACAAACTGAAATCGTTCACACTGATGAATTCCTCAATCTCATACTTTGTTGACAACATTTTCTCCTCCACACTCACCACACCAGTTTATTGTGAATTGATATCATCAATAACAGAACAAAGTTATGAGATAAAGATTGAGTTTCTTGAACAAACACAAGAAACCCTATTAGGTTTTATGAAAGAGAGAGAAGAAGAAAGAAGAAGACTAAGAATTGGTTAAAACTGTTTTACTATTCACTTTCTCAATAAGGGTTCAAAAATTACAAATGAATAACAACAATTAACCTCTTTCAACAACCTAAGAGAACTAGTCTATTTATAGACTACTAAGCTAAATTAGGCTACAAGCTAACTTAATAATTGGACTTACAAGCAGAGACCAATTCGACATACTAACTTAAACACAAAGCTAACATATTTTGACAGCATGCTTGAACAGACTTCAACTACAACATTCACAACTCCTGTCAAACCATGAAGCTACCCTTGCCGGCACTAGAGTTCGACCCAAATATCACAGTACATGTAGAAAATTTTTAACTATAGGAAAAAAAGGACCAAGAAAGCACAAAAAACAGACAAAAGACACTATTTAAGCACGAATGCTCGCTTAGTCAAGAACATTGTCTCGTTAAGCCAGAAAAGGGAAGCAAAAGAATGCTTAAAATCCAAGTAACCTCGGCCAAGCACCAAAGCTCATTGCATGCATGCTAAGAAAGGTATGGTGGTTCAGAAGCTTCATGGCTAAGTTACTTTAGGAAAAAGAAAAGGTAGGCTCACTAACTGAGCTTAAGGTGCACTAAGCGAGGTTAAGGCAACCAAGAGCACTCGCATGATGATCTAACATTTCTTAATTGTGAAGATTATAGGCGTGCTAAGCAAACTATGAGCTTCACTTAGTGACAATGGCCGACCAAGACACTATAAATAGGGCTTTAAGTAGTTCATTTGAAGATAACTTGGTATAATTATATAGTTTTCTTGGTAGGGAGTGAGAGAAGTCAATTGTATACCAGAAACATAACAGGAGAGGCAAAAATAGGAAGTTCGATGGCGGAAGTGTTTTTCGAGGAATCGACAACATATTATTTTTAACATCTTTCTTTTAGAGCTTAATTGTTAAGCTACAATGAGTAGGAATAGCTAATTTCTCTTTTGTTGGAGTTACATGTAGTCATTCTAATACTCATGTCTTAATCCCGATCATGGCGTTCTATGCAATTCTTTTTAAGCTTTATTATTGATGAATTATTTGTTCTTCAAGCTTGTTTTGGATTAGCTACCTAAAACATATTTTCATGGTATGACTTGATATGCGAAAGGTACTCATCATTACTAGATTCAAGATTTTCATCTATTGGATATGCTAAAGTCTAGACATAGATTTATGTTTAGTATCCGTATGAACTGTTGAAGCTTAATGTTATCGTATTGGATAATGGGCTGAGAGATCATTCATTAGGTAATACGAATGATCGTACATCATTGGATCAGACATAAATTGCGATGAGAACAACTAGCGGTGATATTAATAGCTGATTAAAATTTGCATATTATTGATTAAGGATATTACATGACAATAACTCGAGGAAATCTAACCTAAACAAGTTTTTATCAATTGCTGAACACCAAAGTTCATTTTAATTTTTATTATTTTACTTTCCGTATTCAGAAAAATCAGACATCTAATAAACCATTCTTAAAGCATAAAAACTATTGAACGTTCTTTAAAACACAACTAGTCCCCGTAGAGACGAGAAAAAACTACACTTACTTCTAAGTTGCAACAATGAACATGTTTCTTTTAAATCTTTCTTTGCTCATATCTATCTCATTAACCTTCCTTTATTAGGTAAAAGGTCTAATTGGTATAACATAATGCTTGAGTAGCTAATAGTCTAGATATAATTCTTGTGTTTGAGGGTTTGTGGTATTTATGGGGTGACTTCTTAAAGGGTGTTGTCTATAGATGTTTAGGATTATTTCCTGTTGGTTACCTGGCACTCTAACCATTGAGGGTCATAAACATTTTTGGTTCAATAACCCTTGGCTCAACTATATTGTCATTTCGAAGGTGGTTATGAATAATTGTGCTAACTATGTTTTTGTCGGTTGGAAAGACTTTGTTCTTAAAGAGAAGTTTAAAACTCTTAAGGGTGATTTGAAGCGGTTGGGTATATATATTTTAAGGTTAGAAGGTGTGGAGATTATTCTCCCTCTAGAGAATATTAGGATAATTGATCTTAGAGCTCAGAAATCTCATTTCTTAGGCGGTAACATTGTTTCTAGAAGCAAATTTAGCGACAAATATAAATTTAAATAAATATTTGTAGAGTGGAAGAAATGTGATAATTCTAATTGAAAATTATATTTAAGTATGAAATGTCCTCGGATATAAAATAATAGAATTATAGGTTGATCACAGTCATCTCTATAAAATTAGGTTATAAAATGAGGTGTGTCACTTTAGATAAACTCTTTTGAATTTTTATATACAGGATTTGAGTCCGGAATACAAATTAATATGATGTTAAGATGACACTTAAGAATTAATTTTAAATAAGTATTATTTTACTTGTTTAATGCAAATTTTTTACCTATGAATTAATGTTTTATAGATTACTTTTAAATCATTACGTTTCACTTAAATATAATATGACTAACCATTTGTAGTTAATATAGATGATTTTGCAATTTTATTCTTCCTATTTTACTTCATTAACGAAATTAATTTATCTATTTCATACTCAATTAAGTTTTGTTTCTTTCTCATACTTTTGTACTGAATATTGATGAAGTATCTACTTCTTAATGATAAATAATTTATATTTTTTATCTTTAAAGTCTTACAATTTTTTGTTGTCTCATTTTTATATTTGTCCACTCAAATTTGATAAGATGTTCAATCTTCAATTATATGTAATTTATAGTTTTTATCTTTAAAATTTTACAAAATTTTTTATATTATAATTATAATATGTCACTTTCGCACATGACACATTATTAGAGATGAAAGTGAGTCGAATAGAGTTGAACTCGTATCAGTTCGATTCGACTCGTTAAGAATATGATCAGCTCAAATTTCGGTTTGATTTTGGCATAAATTTTTTTAAAACTCAAACTCGACTCGTTATAAATTCGCGAACAACTCGGTTTAATTCATTATATTCATCTCGTTAGATTCGTCTCACTCGCTTCACGGATGAATAAAGTCTATTTAAAATCTATTTTTTTTATATATTTGATTTTTTAAATTAATATTTTTTAAAAAGAAAATATTAAAATAAATTAAAAGTTATAATATTAATAAATATTTCATATTTAAATGATTGAATTTAAATTAATTGAAATAAATTCTAAAAATAATATAAAAGGTAAATGTCATAAATTTTTAACAAGCATTATTTTTTAAAGATAGTTTAAAATAAATTAAAGATATATGTTTTATTTATTTTTTAAATTTAAAGATATTTTTATATGATGTAGATTTTGTCAGAAGATATATTTTTTAAATTTAAAGAAATTTAGAAGATATATATTTTTTTAAATTAGAAAATATATGTTGATTTAAATTTTTTTTTTTTATAAAAATAATTTATATGATGTTGATTTTATTTGTATAATTATTTATAGAAATATTTTACTCACTTGTGAATATAAATTATCAATTAAAATCGTTAGATTGAAAGAAAATATAGAGCTAAGAGTTGGAGTACATTTTAAAATTTACTTTTAAAGATAATATAATTATTTCTATATATAATCGGGTTGATTCATGAATCTAACGACCCGAATTATGTATAATTCAACTTTAACTCATTTAGTTAACAAAATTAATTTTTTTATTTATATTCCGCTCATTTAATTTATTAATCTTGTTCAACTTTCAAATTAAATTTTAAACTTACACGTTATTTAAAAATAAACATATTTTCAATTTGAAGTACAAAAATATGAAAAGGATCATAACTGTTTTACATTTAAAATAAGATGTCTAATGTAATAAATGAGAAAAAATTAAGTGAGCAAAACGGTAGTTAAACTTAATAATTAATAAAATAAAAATGTCTTGACCTGGGTTTTGGATCCGCTACCAATCACTAGGTTATTATTATTATGATAACTAGAAAAATCTAGATTATTTATTTAAGTCTAATAAATTACAAAATGTTGGTATGCTCCTGAAAATGAATTCAGTAGGAACAAGGCCAGTAAGTATCAAGATCCGTGCAATGCTCCATACCAATACCATAACCTACGATATTATTAATATTCTGATCTGCTCCAACACAGTTCATATTATTTGCTGCATTCATCATATTCATGTTTATTGAATTCACATGATCATCCATTGTTGCATGAGAATGTTGCATTGGAAGCATAGTAGTAGCTACTCCGTTTCCAAGATTCAAATTAAGCCCTGAAATGCTGAATCCTCCATCTCCTCCTGTTGTTGCTGACAGTATATTTGCAGGATAGTTCAGATGAGAATATTGGACTGTTGGTGCAGCAGTACTATTACAGTTATGATTCCATCCGTAAAGGAAATTATGATGAGGAGCTGAAGAATCTCCCAGCATCATATGATTATAAGGATTCACTCCTGCTTTTGTAGGGTTTGAATTATTACTAGGATACTTTTTTCCACTTCCACTCTTCTTGAATACCCTACAAACAACCCATCCTTCCTCCTGCATGCATATCTCACATGATTAGTTACATACATGATATACAGAGACATTGACACCGACACTGACACACAGTACACGATACTGATACTGACACTGACACGTCTGCAACAGACACAAACACACATTTTTCAGAGGTGCTGGTGCTATAGAGAGATACTATTTTATACCTTGTTTGTTGTGAAGGTTGACTGAGAGTGAACACGATATTCATGGATGACCCAATTGCTCTTCTCTCCTCTAGGAGCTCTACCTTTGTAGAAAACCAAAGTCTTCTTCATACCAACCAATTCCGACGTAACACTGTCGATAATTTCTCTGTCTTTCCCTGTGGTTTTCCAGTATCCTGTGTTAGTTGCTCGGTTGGTTCTTACACCAGTTGGGTATTTACGATCTCTCATACTGAAAAAGTACCATTCCTTTTCTCCCATCTTTGCTTTTTCTATAATTCATCATCACTCAAATTATTATATTCATTACAATAAACCACAAAAAAATCATAAGTATATGTATTTTTTTATATACCTGGAAGGTCCCACGGTTCAAATTTATTGAGGTCTATATCAGTGATTGCTCGGCCTGTAAAACTAGAATCTGATATCTTGTTTATCAGATAGCAAGTGATGAGTTCTTCGTCTGTAGGATGAAACCGGAATCCCGGCGGTAGAGTTTTCTCCTTTCCAATACTTTCTTCCATTACTTGAGTGGATTGAGAGATACAAATTCTTACTATTTGAGGTTATGTATGATTCACAGTAACTTGAGGGATACTGCAAAATAGAGTGTGTATATGAATGAAGTTAGAGAGGTTTCTAGTTACTAGTAATTAGCATTAATGTATAAGAAGTTAGATGAAGAATTTAAGTATTAAGGGAAAGAAGAAAAACGTGAGAGAGTGTGCTTTTGAAGATTCCACCAAATGTGGGTCTTCACCTTCAAGTTGTACATGCACATTGATAAATGTAAAGTGTGAATTTTTTACGTTACATCTAAAAGTTTAACAATTGAAATTTCACCTCTTAAAAATAAATAAATGGAATATGGCAATTTCAAAAACATGCACAATTGTAGAATATAATATTCATGCACCACAAATAATTGATCTGAAGTGACTTAACCAAAACTTACTTGGATGCCATAGATTTCAGAGCCAACTTAAAATAATGGACCTTATTCGTGCCAAAAAGTCACAATGCACCAACATTAGGAATATTATGAGGAAGAAAAACAAAAAAACACATGAAGATAGATAGGGTTCCCTAAGAAACTGCAAACATTTTTGTCAAAAAAATGAAACCAACCACCAAAGTATGAAAAATGGATCATTTCAAGGAAGACCGTATCTTATCCTCCTGACCAGTTTCCAGAAATCCGTGTCCTCTCCTTCAATTCTTTATTCTTTTCTATTTTCTAACTTTGTGACCTCCATTTAGATTTTCCACATTCAATTGCTAATTACTCCATCTTAATTATCACTATAGATTTTTTTATCTCAGATAAAACAGAACTTTTATATTATTTTATAGGTGAGGTAACGAAGAGCGATATATAATGTTTGTTGTTTTTTTTATGGATGAATTTTTTTTATTGAAGTGAATTTTAAACTAAAAATCAACACTTTTTTCTCTTCAATTAGAAATTTCTTTAAGGTAAAATTATAACTACAAAATAGTTTTTTAGGATGGATTGTAAAAACAGAGAAATGTTTTGATCAATATTTTTTTGTGATTGCTAAAATTATTTTTTTTAATACAAAATTTGTAAAAAAGATTTAATGTTAATAGGAAAGTATGTAGTTCTTGTTGCTGAGTTTTAATATTTTTAAAAGCAACAACATCAATGTAATAATAATGACATTGCTAAGTTGTATCCATGTTTTTCTTAACTAACATCAAATATTTTTAAATAAGCACTTATTTAAAAAAAGAATTTTAAAAATTACACAGGAAAAAATACATTAAAGAATTTACTTTGACACATTTCTCTTCTTTTTAATCCATCTCAAGGTATGATCTTGTACTATATTCAATGCTTTCACTATGAGTGGATGTTTTCATTGTTAATGGTGTTTGCATTTCAACAATTTGCACTATGTGTTTCAAGATAAATGATTATGATAGTTACGTTATAATATATTCATTTGTGTGTGTTTCACGCGAATTATTGATGTTTCATATAGATTGATAAGTTAGCAATGTCTTGACCGTTATTACTTTATAAATAAACGACAAAGATAATTGATGTTGTTTTCGGATTTGAAAAATTGAGTTTGGCACAAGGAAATTATCGGGACGAGTCGCGTACTAGGTCGCTTTCTTTAAGACGTTTCGCCATACTGCCAAATTATGCAAAGCAGTCGATTATGCAAAGCAGTCGATTTACGACGACGCCTCCAGGATAAAACAGCCCGTTCAAAAACTTACGATTATCAGTTGCACACTGATAAATCGCACTAGAAATACACCTCTCTAAGTATCTGGTGAAAATAACCAGTCAAGAAAAGAAAAAAATTTAGATGAAGAGAATTAAGGGAGAGAAGAAGGAAATCAAAATTCGTGTGAACTTGTGAAATCCGATGTGCTCACTACTGAATTTCTACCCTGTATTTATAGGCAGCTACCTGCACCTGAGTGAGGAGAAATTCGTGGTGAGTGGAGAAAATGGTGGGAGAATGAGAAATTCGTGGAGGACTGGATCTGGCAGTTACTGACCAATTATTTTCTTAATTAATTAATATTTATTATTAATTAATTTTCCACCGAATTATATTAATTAATTAATGATAATTAAATTATATAAATTCGGGTCCAAAAAATAATTCATCTAGACCGGACCGAACCGAGCCGAGCCGAGCCGGCCGGACAAACGGACGGCGGCGGCGCGCGCGCGCGCGTGTCTTGTTGGTCATGGGTGTGTCCCCACTCCTTTCACAAAATTGGGTGCCCTTTAGGGCCCAACCCAATTGACAAAGTTGGAATATATAAACACTACTAATATTTCCATTCCCTTCAATGTGGGACTAAAATGAATCTTTTCAAATTCACTTCTATATTAGTTCTCAAATGAGTTCATTTATTGCTCATTAATTGTCAATAAATCTTTTCAATTCCAATAAAATTCCAACATTCCTCCATTTGAATTTAAAAGAGATTTTAGAAGTACGTCAGACGTTTCTAAGGTTGGGCATAAGCAAAGGTGTCTACGACTTGAACCTTAGCGTAGCGAGTAGGATTCTGATTCAACAAGAGTGACACCATTGTCTTGAACTCTATCTCGGACATCAGACCCGCACACAACCTTTCTGTAAGGTGTATTCTTGTAGCCCGTGCTTTAGTAGCCTTGCACGTGTATCCCAGTTTAGTGAATGCTCTAGGAATTCTGCCTCGAAATTCCATAGGAATCGGCCTCAGTTCCACAGTCACATAGGTGAATCTATCAAGAGTACTCTTGTATCCTAGGTACTCCCTCATACAGAGTATAGATCTCATTAAGAGTTTCTATTATCTCATTCTCTCGTTACTTCAGGATTCATGCTTTACTTGCATGATCATTTTCATATTACTCACAACTTGTTATTACCCATTGAACCTAAGTCTTGGGATCTCCAGTCATTTAGGTCGGGTTACCATCATGAGTAACAAATTGTTTTATAGGCATTAGTCCCATCTTTTTGGAAGTATTATGGACTTTCTCTCTAGCTAATCCTTTCGTCAAAGGATCTGCTAAGTTCTCATCAGTGCGTACATGATCCACTCTCACAGCTCCTTTAGAGATACAATCTCTAACAGTGTTATGTTTTCTTTTAATTTGACGTCTTTTACCATTATAATAACGGTTCTCAACTTTTGCAATAGCCGCGGTACTATCACAGTGGATCAAGACAGCTGGTATAGGTTTTTCCCATAAAGGAATCTCAGCTAACAAGCATCTTAACCAACTTGCTTCTTCACTAGCTGTAGCTAATGCTATCATCTCAGACTCCATTGTGGACTGTGCCAGAATGGTCTGTTTCTTTGATTTCCAAGATACAGCTCCTCCAGCTATACTAAATATATAACCACTAGTACCTTTGGAATCACCCGATAAGGTGTTCCAATCTGCATCACTATACCCTTCTAGTACAGCAGGAAATTTCTGATAGTGTAGGTCGAGGTCCATAGTCCTTTTAAGGTACCTCATTACTCGCTCAATAGCTTGCCAATGTTCGTTACTTGGCCTACTTGTAAATCTGCACAACAATCCTACGACATATGCAATGTCGGGTCTAGTACAATCAGTGGCATACCTAAGACTGCCAATGATGCTCGCATATTCTGCTTGTTTGACACTTTCTCCAGTGTTCTTAAACAGTTTCATACTTGGATCATACGGAGTGCATGCAGGTTTACAATCAAAGTATTTATATTTCTTTAAGATCTTCTCCACATAGTGAGATTGATCCAAAGAAATTCCTTGGTCGGATCTCATGATCTTGATACCCAGGATCACGCTTGCTTCTCCGAGGTCTTTCATATCAAAGTTATTGCATAACAATGATTTCATATCATTAATTGATCCAAATATAAGTAGATCGTCTACATATAGACATATGATAGTACAAATGCGATTCTCAGATTTGTAATAAACGCACTTGTCACTTTCATTCACTTTGTACCCATTAATTATCATTAGGTTATCAAACTTTTCATGCCATTGTTTAGGGGCTTGTTTTAGTCAATACAAAGAATTATCTAACTTACAGACCTTGCTTTCTTGTTCTTGGATCATAAACCCTTCTGGTTGTTCCATATAGATTTCTTCTTCTAAGTCACCGTTTAAAAAAGCTGTTTTAACATCCATTTGGTGTACTATTAATTTATAAATGGCTGGTATTGAAATGAGTACCCTAATGGATGTAATTCTAGTGACCGGAGAAAAGGTGTCGAAGAAATCTATATTTTCTCTTTGTCTAAAACCCTTGGCTACAAGGCGAGCCTTGTATTTCTCAATCGTTCCATCAGGTTTTAGTTTCCTTTTCAAAACCCATTTACAACCAATTGGTTTGCAACCCGGGGGTATGTCTACTAAGTGCCAGGTCTTGTTAGATTCTAGAGAATCTATCTCATCATTAATGGCTTCTTGCCATAAGTCTGCATCCATAGATGACAGTGCTTCTTGAAGATTTATTGGATCTTCTTCTACATTATAGGCCGCATAATCGGGCCCATAGTCTTTAGCAACTCCTGCTCTTTTACTTCTTCGAAGTTCTGTTTCTACATTGTCGCTGCTTTCAGTGCTTTTTATCACAGGAATGTGACTCGATTGTGTGCCCCCACTATTTCTCGATTTGAAAGGAAATTTGTCTTCAAAGAATTCAACATCATTTGATTCTATAATTACTCTGGCATTTAGGTCATCAAACCTGTATGCCTTACTGTTTGCTGCATACCCAATGAATACGCATTCATAGGCTCTACTAGCGAGTTTAACTCGTTTCGGATCCGGAATTCTGACATAAGCTAGACAACCCCAAGTTCTCAAATAAGACAAATTTGGTTGTCTTTTCTTTAATATCTCATAAGGTGAGATCTTACTTTTTGACTTGGGAACTTTATTTAGGACATAGCAAACAATCAATAAAATTTCCCCCCACCAGTGAGGTGCAGCACCAGAATTTAACATGATTGCAACTACAAGTTCAGTAAGAGTCCTATTCTT